AGCAGCACTGATCAGACCCAAAGCTCAGCTTCTTAGTCTCATTTGTCTACCTTTCCTGTCATTCGCCATGTGCTGCCGTGGCTCGCAGGAGACTAGGACTTACTGCAGAGGTTCTGGTACCGTCCCCTTCCCCTGTTCCCTAGTTTCTTAAAGAACTTTTATTTATTTATTTTTTTGGTACCGGGGACCTTGCGTTTGCGCAGCAGGCGCCGGAACTAGGTAGTTTCTTGATATGATTAATGAAAATCTGATTTACCTGAAAAGTGATAATCTCTAGAGACAGATATATGATAACTGCCATTTGATCAAAATTTTCCACCAGCATTTATCAGGCCAAAAGGACGTAACATTATTGAAAGTAAACTGAGTCTAATACTTAATGAAAAAAGGAACAACCCATAATAGCAATCAAAAAAATTTCAGAGAACCGGTTATTAAAGCTAAATATTTTGCTAACTTAACAAAAGAACAACTAAGTAGTTATAGCTTATGTCTACATGTCCCCCCAAAGCCTCATGCAGTCATGGGTGGGGCTTTTTCAGAGGTGGCTGGATCTAGAGTGTGTAATGCTGGGATTGATTCATGGTGCAATGCTAGGATTAAGGGTGCCCCACCCCAAGTGTGAGTGCTACTCGCCCTAAAAGCTGGTAGTCTCAATAGGACATAAGGGACAGAAAGAGGGCTGCCACTGTTGCCTGCTTCTGGCCCTGCTTGGTGCTTATTGCCTTCTGCCTGCCCTGCTGGACTGTCTCTCCTCTGCAATGCCCCTCTGCCATGGCACCCTGCCTTGGAGCCAGCCAATAATGGACTGAAACTTCTATAAACTGTGAGCCAAATAAACCTTTCCCCCTTTAACTCTGAGTGTCAGGTATTTTTGACTCAGCAACAAGAACTAAAACAGTAGTGAATATCATCTATGTCACACATTTTGCTTAATTTCTATGCCAGAGTCCAGCAAAATATACCACACAGACCAATTCTAGCCACCTTTATTTTTATAAACAAAGTTTCATTGTAACACAGACACATTCATTCATTCATATTGTCGATAGCTGCCTCTGCACCACCATGGTGGAGCTGGGTAGTTGCAATAAAGAAAAAACTATCTGCCATTTAAGAAAAAGCAAAAGAAAGTAGAAAAGGAGGGAAGGAAGGAAAAAGAAAGCATGGCACAAGATGAATAAGATGTTTTCTGCCATCTAGTGGATTACCACTTAGCAGGGAAAGGAGTTGGGAAATACCAGAGAACCATTTTTCTGAGCTAGCTCCAAAAGGCTGAGTATATACTTTCCAAGACAGATTAAAAAGCCTTTCAGGGCTGGGGATTTAGCTCAATGGTTCCGCCATCTGTCTTTCAAGTACAAGGACCTGAGTTCGATCCCCAGTATCAAATAAATTAATAAATAAAGCCTTCCAGATAAGAGAAAATAACACAATCAAAAAAAGTTTTGCCGGAGTATGTAGCTCAGTGGTGGTAGAGTACCACCCTAGTATGTCCAAGGCCTAGGTTCAATCCTCAGCACTGCCAGTTTTCAAACTGTGTGATATATTTAAAAAACGTTTAGTCTGAGACTGTACATAGTGCCATACTATAGTATTTTGACATAAACCAACAAGAAGTAAACTGAAAAAAAGTTGTAAAGAGTTTAAAAAATCTTGCTGCAAAATGTGGACATTTTATAGGCAATAATGACTCACCAAAGGTTTTAATTAAGAGAATATAAAATGGTTTTAGAAAGATTATTCAAGGACTTTCAGCTAGTATAATTAATGTAACTTCTTAGCTCCAAACCATAAATGGATAAAATATAAAAAAGAAAAAGCACATAGAACTAAATCTATGTTCATGCTAGACTCTGGGCCCAAAAGCAGGCTGTGGTAGTTCTAAGTGCAAAGCACTGAAATTAGTAGGATTCAAAGAAAAAGAGGAGGAACTAAAGCCATGTTTGATGCATGAAGAGGTGGAAACAGATTGGGGCAGGGCTACTCTTCCATCCACGTAAAAAAAAAAAAAAAAAGACAGCTAATAATAAATGCTGGCAACTGCTCCCAGAGACTGTATTACCCATGAACAAGCATGGGCCCAGACAGGAAGAGGCACAGAGATACTCAGGGGTCCAGACACCAGGCCACCTATGGCTTGCTGCGATCTCTGATATGCCCTATCCCACTAAGAGTCACAAGACCCACTTCTGAATTGGGAGTTAAACATTTAACATGTAAGAATCAGAAGTTTAAAAGTCAAATAAAAGAAAGAAATGCTTAGAAAATTAACAAGGATAAAAGCTAATTCGCTGGTATAAAAATAAATCCCAAGAAGATTTAACAAGTAAAAAAGACAAAAGCAATATTAAGGGTTGTAAAATCTACAGATACCATAGGTTTTTGGTAAAGAAATACCATGAATTTGTCAATAATTAGAAATCTTGCTGGGTGTCCTGGCACATACCTATAAATCTCATCACTCTGAAAGCTGACTACGCCACATAGTGATCTCAAGGCCAGCCTGAACTTCCAGTGTGACCCTGTCTCAAAAAAAGCAAACAGCAGAAGCAGCAGCAGAAGAAAAAGGAGGGGAGGCAGAGGAGAAAGAGCAGAAGCAGAAGAAGCAGAAGCACCAGCAGAAGAAAAAATCTTAAGTGAAATGAATGATTTCTCAAAAAAAGATTCAAAGAAAACAAAAACTAAATCAAAACACTTATCTGTCAGGGAAGGAGGGTGGACAAAAAGAACAACAGGTCAAAACAGTACTACAGGTGAGTTCTACCATTCACTCAAGCATTGGATAACCTTACCCTTACAAAAACTGTTCCACAGAATATTTAAAAAGGGGACATTCTCCAACACTGTATGAGATTAGCATAACCAAAACCAGAGGAAGACAGAATAAGTAAAGAATTATAGGCCAATCTTACTTTGAACATAAGACAACAACCTAATAAGATACTAAGAGAACTCAGCAGTGGGTATATAGCTGTTTAGAGGGCTAAGGATGGGGATGGATAATCATCAAGACCAAGTATCAGGCGTCCCAAAAATTCAAGAACAATTTTTGTTTGTTTGTTTTGACTCAGGGTTGTGCCATGTAGCCCAGGCTGACTTCAAACTCACGTCAATCCTCCTGCCTCAGCCTCCAAAGTGCTGGAACTACAGATGTGCACCACCATGCTCAGCATAATTTAAAATTAGAAACCAATTAACGTAATGTTATCACATTAACGTATTAAACAAAAAAGACTATATAATTTTAATCAATACAATCAAGTGACGATAAAACTGAGCATCACTTTTTGTATTTTTTTTTAAAGAAGGCCTGGGAATGTAACTCCATAGTACAGTATTTGCCTAGCATGTGCACAAAAAAAGAAAAGAAAAAAGGAAAATATTTGGTAAACTCAGAATAGAAAAGAACATTCTTCTGCTGCGCAAGCACAAGGACCCGAGTTCAATCCCCGGTACCAAAAAAAAGAAAATTAAAAAAACATTCTTAACCAAATGAAGAATATGTTGAAAAATCTACAGTTAATACCTATGGGAAATGTAAAAATATTGCCAATAAAGATGGCTACCATCAGTTTCTATTCAATATTCTACCTGAGAAAACAAGGTAGGGGAGGAAACTGCAAGGTAGAAAGAAGAAACAAAAACGGAAACCACAGAAAATACATCCAGAGAAGGAGATTCCACAAAACTCTAGATACGAGTGATGACTCCACAAACTGTGCTCCACCAACAGGAGGAGAGCGCATAAGAAAAATTCTTGAGACATCAAAAAGTACCAATGTTAATGAAATTTTTTAAAGTTTTGACTTGATGACCAAGTTTGTTTGTTTGTTTTGAGACAGGATCTTGCTATGTAGTTCAGGTTGGCCTTGAACTCACTATGTACCCCAGGGTAGCCTGGAATTGCAGCAATCCTCCTGCCTCAGCCTCCTGAGTGCCAAGATTACAGGTGTGCCCCACTACACCCAGCCCTGACCAAGTTTTCCTCATTCTAGTTCAGAGAATACTGAGAACAAGACACAAATTACAAATTTTAAAAGCAAGAGGACCAAAGGAAGAAAAATGCAACTTGGTACCTGGAATACTTCAGAAGAAACCATGTATGAAGTGCCTGGGAAGTGCCTGAATGCAGAAAGATGTTAATTTTTCTCCTCTAATTTTTCTACTTCACAAAAACATTCTTACTAAATTATTCTTTCACTTAAAGCAATTTTAGCCTCTCTATCATATATGACATAAGAAAAAAATAACAAACTTAAAAAAAACAATGAACTTACTGGTGAAAAGATTACGTAGTGAATTTTCTTTTGATGATTCCTTTGAGGAAGAAATGCCAACGTGCACAATAAAAATGTATGGCGCATCCTGCCAAGTTTGCAGTGGTTCATGCAGTGCCTGAGGAGGGAAGAAAGGCAGGAAACCTTCAAGTCTTAAGAATTAAGAGCACACAACATGACATGAAAACCTTGCTCCATCTGACCTGACTCAGACCACTCAGTGAACAAAAGCTCGTTCTCAAGACATCCATCAGAAACATCTGTCAGAAACACTCAGCAACTGCTATAGATCACAGCTTCCTGATATGACATTAGCAGCTAGAGCTATGGAGAAGCTAGAGAATGGGATGTTCATGGGGACACTGAAAAGCATCCAGATGGCAACGTGCATGTGCAGGGTCAGCTCCACATGCCCGGAGCAAGGCAGAGCCCAAGGAGACCAGAGACAGCCCACGAACTCAATCCTGGCATCCCTAAGGCCTCTGCACAGGCAGAAAGAGAAGGCTGAGAAAGAGTAGCTGACAGTGAAAAAGCCACACACAAGGTCATACATTGAGTCATCCCACCATGAAAAATGCTTTGAATAGACATGCAAGCAACAGAAAGCAGGATAGCGGCTGCCGGAGACTAGAGGCAGGGAAGACTGCGGAGTGAGCAGTAATGGGTTCTGGGATCAGCTGTTGGTTATACAACTGTGAACAAACTGAAACCTTACTACACTGTATGCCTTAAAAGCATGAATAGTATGTTAAGAGTACTGTGTCTTAATAAAGTTGTATAAAATTAAAACCTTAATCAGCTTTGTGAAAAACCAGGACATGGGCTGGGGATTTAGCTCAGTGGTTCTGCCGCCTGCCTTGCAAGCGTAAAGACCCAGAGTTTGATCCCCGGTACCAAAACAAAAAAAAACAAAAACAAAAAACCAAAAACCAGGACTAACACAGATAAATGTTTTTTGGGGGGGGGGGCGCTAACCAGGTATCGAACTCAGGGCCTTGTCACCGCTGAGCTACATTCCCAGCCCACATATAAACATCTTATTTTCTCTGTATTTTTAACTTTGCAAAAGTTTTGAGGAATTAGTCATTATGAATTAGAAAGTGAAACCTCCATACAGCATATATTTAAAAAATTTAAAACATATTTAATCCCAGCACTTGGGAGGCTGAGGCAGGAGGATCGCTGTGAGTTTAAGAGGCCACCCTGGGCTACATAGTGAGTTCAAGGTTAGCCTGAACTATATAGCGAGACCCTGTATCAAAAAAAAAAGTATATTTATAGCTCTTGGCCTTATTTCAACTTTCCAAACTCTCCTGTAGTTACAGTCTTATCATAGATAATTTTAGATGGAGCTTTAAGGTCTTTTTAAGTTAAGTTTCTTCCTATTTACAAATATTTATTGGGGAGGAATAATTACACAATAGAAAAAACACAAAGAAGAAAATAAAAATCACTTATAATACCATCTACAGACAATCATTATTAATATGTTGGTGTACAGCCTTCAGTCTTACATTTCTTTGTAAATGTTAACCTAGTGAAAATAATTCAAAACTACCTGAATATTAAAACGTGTTCAATGTCACAAATGCCCAAATACACTTACAGTTCTCTCTCCAGTAAAGGTAAGATTTGTTCCATTCTCCTTAACCTTTAAACATGACAAAAAAGAAAATTAATTTAGAATAATTTACTTTACTCCCAGAAATATGTAAGGAAAATAATTACCTCCTGTTTTTCTCCTAAAAGAGGCAGCCGGTGCACAGACTCCCCAGAAAAGCTCTACAAAACAAACACAAAACTAAATCAAAGATGTATAAATACAAAAGGAAAAGTATAACTCAAAATTCACAGAAATGGTTAAAGTAAAACAAAATATAATAGTTTATACAGTAATATAGCATCTGTAGACAAGATTCCCAATTAACCACAAACAAAATAAATAAAACCTTGCTAAGAGCTAAAAAATAGCAAAGCATGAGGCAGGAGGATCATCATGAGTTCATGGCCAGCCTGGTCTACACAGTGAGTTTAAGCCTACCCTGAACAACATAACAAGACCCTGTCTCAAAAAACAAACAAACAAAAGAATCAAAGCAAACTGACCAATTTTTCTACTGTATAAACATAACAACATTTATGAATGACAAAACCTAAGATTATGGGCTGGGGATTTAGCTCAGTGGTGCCACCACCTGCCTTGCAAGCACAAGGTCCTGAGTTCGATCCCCGGTTCCAAAAACAAAACAAAACAAAAAAACCCCTAAGATTATGATATATGCACAGAATGGAAACCTTAGAAAATCTCTCATTCTACAGATGAGGAAAATGAGGCTTAAAGTCATGAAACTATAAATGCAGAAATGGATCTGAACCTGACTCCTAACTCTTAGGTCCACTATTCCTTCCATCACAACACATTCTATGGCTGTAAAAAGTTACATTAATAGAAATTAGACTGCTGGAGTGTAAACCTTACTAACAGGGCAGGGTTTGCTATAACTCTTGGAAGATTAGAGCTGATCTAAAATGGGAACCTCATGAAGTAAGACACAAGTCACGTTCCCTACTCAAACTTAAGACCAGCCAATCATCCTTGCCTCGTGCATTATTCAGAGAACCAACAGAAAACATACTAACACAATACAGATACAAACTATCCAAAATAATTGCTTCTAGTTTTCTCTACTCTCCTTCTACCATATTAAAGTTGTTTTCTTTCCCCTCTAATTCCATAAAATCTAAGCTATGACAACAGCTGAACTCTTACAACTCAGTGATCAATTACTTTATTTGCTTAGCAATTAGCAATTACTATAAAGTCTTATAAACACTTCTAGTGACTAAACAGAAAACTATGCCTTCAGGGAACTCCTTGCCAACTTCAAGGCAACTTACTAAATATTCCTACACTAGAGATTGAACCCAGGGTCTCACACACAATGGGCAAGTACTCTACTAAGCAATATCCCTGGCTTTTTTTTTTTTTCCTTCTTTTAATTTTTTTTTAAAATTTTACTTTGAGACAAAGTCTCGCTAGGTTCACCAGGCTAGTCTCAAACTTACAATCCTCCTACCTCAGTCTCCTGAGTAGCTGGGATTACAAGCGTATGCTACCATGCCCAGGTCCAAAGCAATTTTTAAAGACAAATAACTGTTTCAATACCTATAAAAATTTTTCCATCAAAAAACTGGTGTTAGGGCCAGGGATTTAGCTCATTGGTTCTGCTGCCTGCCTCACAAGCGCAAGGTCCCGAGTTCGATTCCCGGTACCAAAAAAAAAAAAAAAAAGGAAATGAAATACTGCAACATAGATGAGCCTTGAAAACATTAGAGTAAAGTAACTCAGTAAAAATTATCTGATTCTATTTACATAAGGTATCTAGAACACATGAATGACTCCTAGGGACTAGGAGGGATGGGAGTGGTATTTAGTGGATGTGGAGCTTCAGCCTGGGGTGATAAGCACTCTGGGGATAGATGGTGGCTATAGGTGCACAGCAACGTGCATGCAGTACTCAACTGTCACGGAATCATCCGTTCAATTACATTACACACTGGGGCCACGGATTTAGCTCAGTGGTTCTGCAGCCTGCCTTGGAGGGGCAAGGGAGCGCAAGATCCCGAGTTCGATCCCCGTACCAAAAAAAAAAAAATTAATTACACATTAAGAAGTTATACATATTTTACAACAATTAAAAAAACTTGGAGTTTTGCCTTTTACAAACAAAGGAAGGAAAGAAAGTATATGATCTCTTAATAAAGTGAGTATGTAAGTGGCTGACTATGCACTTATCAGGACAGGATTCCAACTCATTTCTCTTTAACTGGTGGGGAAACAGATAAAGGAGAAAATATAGACCTTACATTTTTTAACCTCTTAAATTTCTCTCCCATCACTTTCAAAGATTACCTGTGTTTTAAAGAGTTCACTGCAGTTTTGGAACAATTTTGATGATGTTTGGTATTTTCCAGACAAGTCTCTTTTTTCCTTAAGTTTTTCCAAATATGTCTCTACTTCTTCTGCCTGGGAAAAAAAGAAAAATATAAAATATTTAACTTACCTATCACAAATAGCATAGGTAGACACTAGCAAACTGATCACCCGTGGTACAAATGTAATTTTGATTCTATTTTAAAAGTTAACAGCATCAAGCCAGACATGGTAGCATACATCTGCAATTCTAGCTACCCAGAAGGCTGAAGAAGGACGACTGCGAATTTGAGGCCAGCCTGGGCAACATAGCAAAATCCTATCTCAAAATAAAATTTTAGAAAAGGGCTGGGGATATAGCTCAATGCTCCCTAGGTTCAATTACCAGTACCATAAAAATACAATAAAAACAGAATCAGAAAAAGACTATAATTGTATCCAAAAACTGTCGGGAGCAATGCTACATAATTTTAGGAAAAAATCATTTGATTAGGCCTAGTTCTCCTGCCTACAGGCCAGCTATAGCATTTCGAGACATAATTCCATTTTGGTCCCCAGTCATAACTGAGACCTCAATGATCAGGTGATGCTGTGATGCTCCAGGACAAGATTACACCAGCTGAAGACATCCTGGGAGGAACAAAATCTTCATCTACTCAGTTCCCCATTGTTCTTGGATTGTTACACTTTGTTTATCCCGATGTTCTGAACTCTCTGCAAGTCATTTGTTACACCTTGTTCATCCCAATGTAGTGAACTCTCTGCAACTCTTTTGTTAACATCTGTTTCTCCTGATGTACTGAATAAAAGGTGCGGTAAGCTGCGGGCTTTCAACTTTGCCGTCCAGAGCAGCACTGATCAGATCCAAAGCTCAGCTTCTCAAAGTCTCATTTTTCTACCTTTCCTGTATAGTAAATTAATTCGCCTTCTGCTGCCATGGCTTACAGGAGACTAGGACTTACTGCAGAGGTTCTAGTAACATCCCCTTTCCCTGTTCCCTACAAAAAACTTAACATTAGTAAAACTCTAGATTGCAGAAGTCTTGTCTTTAGCTCACAAAAGGCAGTAATTCCAGAAACAATGGAAAACTAATTAGCAGAGGCCAGAAGGAAGGTTTTGGTCATGTGAAAATATATGTAAAAGTTACCTATTAGACTCACAAGCTTAAAAACTGCATGGTTTTTCTTATATGAAAAATCTGGAGTACACATAAATTAAAGCATAAAATAAAAGGCAGATAGGGCCGGGGATTTAGCTCAGTGGTTACAGCACCTGCCTCGCAAGCGCAAGGTTCTGAGTTTGATCCCCAGCACCAAAAAAACCAAAAAGACAGATAATAGGGAAGGGGGGGGCAGGGATGTAGCTCAGCGGTGCTGTGCCTGCCTGGCAACCGCAAGGTCCTGAGTTCGATCCCTGGTACCGGAAAGGGAAAAAAAAGGAAAAGGGGGACAGATATTTTGCAAATGAGAAGGGGAATAAGAAATAGAGGGAGGAGGAAAAAGGGAAAAGGAAGTAAAAAGAATTAAAATGGGTTATGTACGTGTATCAACTTCCTAAAATGAAGGTAATCATGTACTGCAAACATGTACTAATAAAAATTAGTTACCTAAATAACATCAACAAAAAGATGTATTTGTGCTCATTAGCTAAGACAGAGTGCAAACTACAATAGCTATTCATAGCCCAAAACCTAATTCCTGTGGCTTCACCTATCAGTTCTGTGATTTTTCTGATATCTACATCTCTGATGACGCCTTCATTAGAAAATAGCTCCAAGGGGCCAGGGATTTAGCTCAGTGGTTCCGCTGCCTGCCTCAAAAGCCCAAGGACCCCAAGTTTAATCCCCGATACCAAGAAAAACAAGGAAAAGAAAAAAGAAAATAAGCTCCAATACTACATCCCACCTTCTTGTCATCCCCTTTATCCAAAATAATTTCCTATGAAGAGAGGATCTACTAAGCACTTGACCAAGTTTCAATCACATGAACCTTTTACTGTAAATTCAACTAGTAAACAATTCAAAGAAAAAGATCAATGACATCAACCCATATTCTGAACATATCATTTCTTTCTAAATTCTTCAGTCTTTTCATTCCTACCACATCAATCCAACCCAATGTTATATAACAAAAGCCAACAAAAATCATCTACATTACAAAACAGGTCATTTAAAAACCTAAGCAGAGAGTCAAAATGCTTACCTTGGGCTTTTTATAGGACCAAATTATCTTTGTAAAGAAAATTCAATAGGAAAATCTTTTGGGGGGGAATGAATGATGAAAATGGCAAATAGCAGGATGGAAACAGAATGAAAGAGGCCTAACAGAGCAATGCTCAAGTATTATACACTGCAGCAACTCTCGAAAACTGGTCTTTCACAAGGTGTAGAGGTCAAAACTATTTGCCTGCAATGATGGCACAGTAACAATGGTGGTAAAATCATCACCCCCCATCAGGAACCAAGGCAGTGGTGCAAACTACACCGGGTAATTCCATTCTTCACAGTCACAAGCTCACAGTGGGTAGGGGGACAGTTTTATGTAAGAATGTCCTTGCTGAAACAGCAAAAATTATTAATGCTATTAAATCTAGATGTGACACCATGCCACTTTTAATAATCTACACAACAAAATGGCAAGTATGCAAAATGATTGTCTTAAAGACTTTGCAACTGTTTTGTCACACAACTAAGTGAGCTACTTTGTTTTATTTGAAAAAAATGACTGACTACAGTCATCAGATTTGGTTATTGTCTTGAAAATGAGCTGTAACTTCAAGGAAAAGAATGGACACAGCACCACAGTAACCAATGATAAGATCTGAGCTTTCAAGCAAAAATTAGAATTTTAGAGAATTTGTATCCATTACTATGAACTAAATGGCTTTTAACACTTAAAAAACTACTGATGAGATAGGGAGGGCAGTAGGTGGGGGTTTTAAGTATAATTTAGATTTTAATGTAAAATAAACTAATGTTGTAAAGAATTATATAATTATTTCAACCAGTGTTTTCTAAATGACCAATGTATTATGTTATAAAATCATGCACAAGTAAAATATCCTTTCAAAGTGCAAGACACATCAGTGCATTTTATATTATAGAATATAGGCCAGCATGTGGCACACACCTGTAATCCCAGCACTTCGGAGGCTGAGGCAAGAGGAGCGCTGTGAGTTCAAGGCCAGCCCAAGCTATATAGCAAGACCTTGTCTCACAAACACTCACACACACACACAAATATATATATATATATATATATACACACATATTAAAAAGGTCATTAATATGATTTCCGAGTCTGTAGTTCATCTACGGCCACACCACCCTGAATGTACCCAATCTCATCAGATTCTACAGTTCAGTATTTAAGAAATTCCATTTATTGAGTTTTGGTACAGAAACAAAGAATATCTCCAATTATCTGAAAAGATCATGAAAATACCATTCCTTTTTAAATTTTTATTTATTTATTTATTTATTTTGGCACCAGGGATCCAACTTGGGACCTTGCGCTGGCCAGGCAGGCCGCCGAACCACTGAGCTAAATCCCTGGCCCACCATTCCTTTTCTTTTTTAACTAATAACTATGTGAGGTCAAATTTTTAACATATACTTCAACCAAAATAATGTATCACAACACACTGAGTAAAAAATGATTTACTACAAGAACCTAGCTGTTTTCTGTTATGCTGAATTTTAAACAGATCTACAGAAATGCAAAACAATGCTACTTTTCTATTTCTTTTGAACAAGTTTTTTTATAATACATATTTATATTAATATATAATGAACTTAACAGTACAACTTTTATATCAATTAATTTTTAAATATTTTAATTTCTAAGAGAAACCCACATGAACAGGCTTTTTGGGAGTCCAAAGTAATTTTTAAGAATATAAGAGCCCTGAGACCAATAAGTTTGAGAATTAGTAACACAGACTGCAAGCTGAGATGCATGGGTTGCACTTCCAGCTTCACTCTTCCTTAACTACATGATACCTTTCCCTCTATAAAGGAGGTTGGGACTAAATGACTTATTAGATCCAAACAAAGTGTGTACAGTTTTTGTTGTTGTTCTTTTAATTTTGAGACAGGGTCCAGTTATGTAGTTCAGGCTGGCCTTGAACTCACTATATACCCCAGGCTGACCTTGAACTCAAGGTGATCCCCCTGCTTCAGACTACTCCCAAGTGCAGGGATGTCAGGCGTGCACCACCACACCCAGCAAGTCTGCATTTCTGTTCCTTACCTTGAAGTTGTAGATTTCATTGTAACAGTCAGCACTTTTCAGAAACCAGGTTATATTCAAAGACTGATCACAAGGTTCTCCATCAACTACAAAAGATATTATTGTGAATAAAAGAGAATTTCCAAATAAAGAATTTTTTTTCTTTTTTTAAAATGTATTTTAATTCTTTTTTTTTCCAGTACCAGCGATCGAACTCAGGACCTTGGCCTTTCCAGGCAGGTGCAGTGCCACTGAGTTAAATCCCAGATCCAAAACATTTTTTTTTTCTTACAAGCATTTTCTTATTACCCCTATCCTAGTTATTTTCTACCCTGAGATACTCAAAGACCCCCCTTTCTCCAAACATAAGAAAATAAAGTAATATTTTTCAGATAATATTGTTGTTCATGGAGGGGAGGAACAGTAGTTAGGCAGTTTTTTTATTCTTTTGAAACTGTGGGCCTATTTCTCTGCCTTAAAACATCAAATTTTAGATCTCTATTTGGAAAAGCCTGGGAGTAAGAAAGCAGTCCTAAATTAAAAGCAGTTTCCTATTGTTCAAATACTTACTGAACAAGGCACAAATATACAAGGATACAACAGCACAAAGCTGGACCAGAGAGAGGAATGGGCAGGAACAAATTATTAAAGTTCTTTTTTAAAAAGCTACACTCCAGGGCCGAAGATTTAGCTCAATGGTGCCAGCACCTGCCTAGCAAGTGCAAGGTCCTTAGTTCAATCTCCGGTACCAGAAAAAAATAAAAAGCCATACTTCAGTCAAAGAGACACAGACTAAGAACACCAGGGATGTCAAGGGGCAATATTCATGACTGTTTTTTTGGTACTGGGGATCGAACTCAGGTCCTTGAGCTTGCAAGGCAGGCACCAGAACCACTGAGCAAAATCCCCAGCCCTCATGACTGTCAAATGGTAGTACAAATATTAGTTCCACTGAGGGAAAAAGTCACAGTTTGAATCCTGAATGACTCAAGATAGAGCAATGAACAAAAAAGCAAACAGCTGAGGAAGTTAGAAATAATAAAACCAAAAAATAAAGAAGATAAAGTAAACTAGACTTTTTTCAAAGTTCACCATAAGAAAAGCCATATGAACTGTGACAGCTTCATATCACTAACTCATTAAAATAGAGACTGGAACATAATATTCTAATGGAGCAAGTCATTAGTCTGGGGCGTGGGGTGTAGCTCAGCGGGAGAGGCTCACCTAGCATGTCTGTGGCCCTGGGTTCAATCCCTAACACGGGAAACATTTTTAAAAGGCATCAGTTTGACAGCCCAGTTGCCCATCAACTGGAGACTGGATAAAGATGTGTTTTTTTAATAAAATGGAGTACTACTCGGCCATAAAGAAAGAGAAACTAGAGACATTTATAGCTAAATGGATGCACAATGAGGCCATGCTCTTAAGTGAAATAAACAGGACACACATGTGTAAATACCAAATAGTTTCTCTGGTGTGAAACACTAAAAGTGCCTTCTTTTTTTTTTTTTTGGTACCGGAGATCGAACTCGGGACCTTGCGCTTGTGAGGCAGGCCCTGGAACCACTGAGCTAAATCCCTGGCCCAGAAAAACTAAAAGTGTAAATAAGGATCAAAATGTATAATAGAGGTTGAGGATTTAGCTCAGTGGTTTCACCGCCTGCTAGCGCAAGGACCCAAGTTCGATCCCCCGTACCAAAAGAAAAAAAGTATAATAGATAATGTGAAATAGGAAGAAAAGGTCTAAAGGGGAAGGGAAACTGGGAGGGGTAGGCGAAAGGAAAAAAAATGGAAACAAAGTCTTTGTAAACAGGGAGGGATGGAGGGGTTGAAAGCAGGGCAGGGGAATGGGGGGAAAAAAAAGAATCAAGATATATCATGTAAAGGTACAAATTCCCAATGATGAATGTCATCATACTGAATACCTAAAATGTGCCAATAAACTTAATGGGGAAAAAAAAGGCATCAGTTTGAAGACGTGAGAATGTAAATCTGACTATATCACTGATTTGTTGTCTCGGCTGGACAAAATCAACATTCATGTTATCTTTCATTCCAAATGTAGAAGAGACACACACTGAAGACTCCCTACTTTACACAAACGCAACAAAAATAAACCTGACTGCATTTAAGAATCTACTTTGGGCTCGTAGCAAAAGAAGCAACCTAATTACAGGCTTCTCTTTTCTTTGTTTCAAAATTTTTTTCAAACTACTTTTATTTTGGCTTTTTGAGACAGTTCAAGTTGGTCTTGAACTCACAGCAATTCTCCTTACTCAGCCTCCCAAACACTAGGACTACAGGTGTGTGCCACCAGGACCAGCTTTCGAACTAATTTTGAATGACCAACACATTTTCACAGGGCTGTGCCAGAATATGCAAAAATCTGACCTGCTGAGTAGAATTTCTAGACATTATATACAATTTGACTGTGTTCAATTAAGAAAACATAGAGAGGCCGGGATTTAGCTCAGTGGTTCCATCACTGCCTTGTAAGTGAAAGGTTCCAAGTTCCATCCCCAGTACCAAAAAAAAAGAAAGAAAAAAAGAAACCATAAAGTTAATTAGAAGTCAATAACATCCCCTCAACAAAACATGCACAGAAATTTAGCTGCAAAAATATTACTAACAGCACAGAAGAGGTGGCTGCCAGGTTGACGTGCCACCACTCCCAGGCCCCGGTAGCATAACTCCCAGCACAAAGGAGGTGAGCTGCAGGCACCAGCAGCACACACACCACCACCACCACCATCACCCCACCTCCTTCAAAATGAGAAGACACATAAACAAGCCTCAAAACCAGACTTCCAGATCACCTACAGCAACCCCAAAAGGAAACGAGATGGAACATTCTGATACTCAATCACCTGGACTCCCTGCGCTGGCAACAAAAGAGGATCTGGAAAAATTGAAATCCGAAATAATTTCTCAGAAACAGCAGAGATTGTGCTCATAGTATAAGACATGATTAATAAATCTAGAGAGGAGTTGAGGAACATGATGGAATCCCAAAATAGGAAACAAATGGAATCCATAAAACAGATGCAAACAAATTTCCAGATTAAAAATTCCATTGAAAGTCTACACAGCAGAATGAGCCAATGTGAGGACAGAATTTCAGACATAGAAGATAAGATTGCAATTAGTGGCCAGAAAAAGAAAACTTGCTTTAAAATTGTAATGGACCACGAGAAATCAATCCAGCATCTGCTAGATGATGCAAAGAAGAATAACATAAGACTGATTGGAGTCAATGAAGAAACAGGAGAGTACAGATGACATTAAAAAAACTTTTCACAGAATTAATGGCAGCAAACTTCCCAAGCAGGAGAAAAGAACTAGTCATACAGATAAGGGAGGCACACAGGACTCCAATCTAGCCTTGAGCAAAAAAAATCTACACATAGGCATATAATTGTTAAGATTCCAAAAACCCAACAGACAAAATTCTACAAGGAGTTAGAGAAAAGAAACAAATTATATACAAAGGAAAGCCCATCAGAACCACAGCCGACTTCTCAATGCAAACCCTCAAGGCAAGAAGAGCTTGGGGTGACTGACCTAGTCTAGGCCCTGAAGGAAAACAGAATCCAACCCAGATTGATGTACCCTGAAAAAATTTCTTTCAAAATTGATGGAGAAATAAGATACTTTCATGACAAACAGCACCTTAGGAACTTGATGAATAACAAACCAGAACTCCAAAAAATTTTACACAATATCCTAGGAAAAGACAACAAGATTCACAACCCCAGGAAGCATAGCAGAATGAATCCATCAGGCACAACAAGAAATTAAATGCAAAGGGGGAGAATCCAACAAAAAGAAAAAGTCATGACAATCATAAGTTAATACATTATCAGTTATAACCGTCAATGATAATGGTCTCAATTCACCAATCAAAAGAAACAGACTGGCAGAATGGGTCAAGAAGCAAAATCCAACAATATGCTGCATACAAGAAACATACTTAATTCACAAAGAAACTCATAGACTGAAAGTTAAAGGGTGGAAAACAATATTCCATGCGACAGAAACCCGAAAAAAGGCAGGAGTAGCTATCCTCTTTGCAGATCAAGTGGATTTCAAACCAATACTAATTAAGAGAGACAAAGGACACTACATCCTTGTAAAGGGAACAATCCAACAGGAAGAGATGTCAGTCATAAATATCTATGCACCAAACACTAGTGTGCCCAACTATATAAAACAAACACTAATAGACATGAAAAATCATGTAAGAAATAATACAATAGTAGTGGGGGACCTCAATACTCCACTGTCACAAATAGATAGATCAACTAGACAAAAAATAAGCAACAAAATACTAGAATTCCATCAAATTCTTGAACAAATGAACTTAACAGATGTTTACAGACTGTTCCACCCCACAAAATCAGAATATACATTCTTTTCAGCTACACATGGGTCGTTCTCCAAAATAGACCACATACTCGCTCACAGAACATATTTAAGTAAGTGCAAAGGAACTGAAGTTATCCCCTGTATATTATCAGACCATAGTGCCATGAAATTGGAGATCAACAGCAAAAGAAACTGCAAGAATTTCATAAACACATGGAAACTGAACAACACACTTCTGAATA